AGCACATGCTCTCACCAGCATGCCCTTGAGTAAAGCCACTTGATAGACCCAAGCTGTCACACTTTAGCTGACCCCGTGCTCTGATGGGCCGAGTGCTAAAATGCATTTGGTATTACAGAGCTGTCACCAGGGAGTCCACTGGCACAAACCTCATGGTTTTCCAACCAGAAATTTGTCAAAAGAAATGTGCACAAATAGGACTTAATATGATAAATGGGAAATCAAAAGGGGAAAAGGGATTGTTAACTTGAAAACAACCTGATCAATACTATATCAAAAACAGATTTTAACAGCTAGAGGACCAATCAATAAACAACTACAACAAAAACATCCTACACTATGAGCTAATTATAAATCTGAACTAATCAATAGTGTCATATTAATAATGGATCGCATGACAATGAGCAAGGGGTCACTCATAGTGATAAACCCACAGAAAATTATCACCCAACTCAGCAGCTCTCAGTTCTCTGGAGCATTTTCTTTTTTTATTTTCTGCCCATTGTCTTGTTTTTTTGGCCCATGCCTTTACTGTTTTACCTCACTCTGACTACTCTTCAGTATTGTTTCTTGCAGCAGCAAAGCACCAAACTGCATGCAGAGTTGGTGGAAACCAAAAAAGGAGCTAAAATGAGAGTAAATATTGGACTTACATTTATCAGGTGTTCACACACATGACTCTAAATAATTTAGAGTGTTGCAGAGTATTCTGGTGGATGTGTAAATAGGCAGCTGTTTGCATATATGTTCAGTTTTTTAACTTTACAAGGTGATAATTTCAGTGTTGTGTTTACAGCTTGTTCTCCTGCCCCTGACTGGCCAGAGAAATAAATAAATTAACATTGCTTGAAGATTATACTGAAGGGATAGTTTGGATCTTTTGAAGTGGGGTTGTACAGTATGAGGTGCTTTTCTATAGTCAGTGTATAATATACAGTAGATGTTTGTGGGCAAGCCCCCAGCTGGAGAAGCAGACAGGAGTAACATCACAGAAGCAAAACAATGTAGGCTATGGACAGTGGGAGCAGCAAAACATATTTTAGCCATCTAAAAAAGTCTCACCTAATAGAATCCATATTAGTGTAAGTGTACACTATACTGAGACAGCTCTGCAGCAGACAGCCTCTTCCAACAGAGAAGCTGTCAACAGCTTTAGTTCCCCATCTATGCTCTTGTCAATGCCACCTCACTTCTTTGAGAAAAACAACCACTTTATCCTGCTGAACACAGGAGCTGCTGGTCTACAGCTGCTCCTGTGTTCAGCAATGTTAAATGACTGTTTTTCTTAATGAAGTCTGGCCTTGAAGAGAGCAATATAACAGCTTCAGTTCCCTGTTGCAAATCGCTGTCTGACAGCAAGTTAAAACAGTGAAAATTATATTCATATAACATGTAACTGTCAAGCACAAACTGGAGATGGACTCACAAACTTGGATAAAAGTTCAAGGTCTTTAATGGGGCTCATGTCGGTACACGGGTGATCAGTTACACAGGCAAAGGTATCCAATATGACAGGCAAAAAGGGGGGTTAAAAGGTCAACAACACACTCAGAAGGAACTCCAGGGAAACACTGGATCTCTCTCAAAAGTAAAGACGATCTGGCAACAAAGGAGGAGAAGACAGGGACTCAAACAAACTATACAAGGGAGACAGTAGCCCTTTTTAGATAGGCAATGGGGGGCGTGCGCAAGTAACAAAACGTGTAGCTCAGCATGTGACGTAAACAGTGACGTACTCTGAGGGAAGCCGCAGCTGGTCAGTCCTTTGGCGATTCTCTCATAAGTCAGCCCGTTCTTCACCGTCCCTGTCATCTGACGGTTAATGGCCTCTTCGTTTGTGAGGACAAGGAGGGCGCATATGGCAAGCCGTTTTAACATTTAATCGCTAGACTGGATATTCATTACTGATATCTGCAACATAATTTTACTGAGTCAAAACTCTTATTCCAGATATCTGTAATTAGATTTTGCCTACTCAAAACTCTAATTACAGATATCTGTAATTCAGTTTTGACTAGTAACATTCAAACTATTTTTGCCATTCATGTGTATGGGGTTTGTCATTATAGATATCTCCAATGTAGTTGCGGATATCTGCAATTGTTATTGCTGATATCTGCAACTGAATTGTGGATATCTGTAATTCCAGTTTGAGATATCTACAATTTAATTTTGACTAGTCATAATTCAAGTTCAAGATATCTTTAATTATCATCAATTTAAGATATCTACATGGTCCTTTCTAGATATCTTGAATTGAGTTTCAGATAGTCAGAATGACGTTGTAGATATCTTGAATTTGAATTATGACTAGTCAAAATGACGTTGTAGATATCTACAACTGAATTATGACTAGTCAAAATGACGTTGTAGATATCTGTAACTGAATTATGACTAGTCAAAATGACGTTGTAGATATCTACAACGTCATTTTCACTAGTCAAAATGACGTTGTAGATATCCGCAACTGAATTATGACTAGTCAAAATGACGTTGTAGATATCTCAAACTGCAATTATAGATAGTCATAATGTAATTGTAGATATCTATAATGACAAACCCCATACACATGAATGGCAAAAATAGTTTGAATCTTACTAGTCAAAACTGAATTACAGATATCTGTAACTGTAGTTTTGACTAGTCAGAATGACGTTATTTATATCTGTAATTCAGTTTTGACTAGTCATAATGACGTTACAGATATCTTAAATTAAAATTCATACTAGTCACAATGACATTACTACTAGTCAAAATGACGTTATAGATATCTATAATGGTAATTCCGGATAGTCAAACTTAGTGATTAAATGTTAAAACGGCTTGTCATAGGCGCACAATTCCATGTCTCCCCAGTTGTACATCTTTACAGTGTCTGTCAGGTTTGTGTTTCCCTCTTGCTACTAGCTGCTGGCTAATTCCTGCTATCAGCTGTTTCCTGTTTATCCACCGCCAGTGGGTCGCACATGCGCCGTCATCAACAGCTCCTCCCACAAGTCATCAACAGCCCTTCCTGTTGCGGCAGGCCGCCTCGGTCTGTTTAAACTAAAAGGGGTCCACCAATATGTTTACCCTACGAGGCGGAAAATTGGGCACCCCGGATCAACTCGCCAATCCGGCTCTGTGTGTCTAAACGCTCGCAGCTTGCTGGCAAAAAGGCCCAACATTCGCAGAAAATCTGGCCGTGTAAAAGGGGCTAATGAGACACAGGTGAAACACATTAGGGCGTGGCAAGTAATTACAAAGGAGGGAAACTTGACAGGATGTGGGTTCTGAAACGAGAGAAGACAATGGGTACCAAAATAAAACAGAAAACACGGATGAAAAATAAAAAGGAATTTAGCTTGACGGGTCACGACAGTAACATAATTGATAAGGTCTGGATGAAATAACACCAAATTCACTTCATATTATTGTCAGTTTTTGTTTAGGCTGAAGTTTTCTGATCATTATTTAGAGATTAAATCAATTTCTTTTATCATGTTTTATCAGTTTTGCAGCACATGACTTACTCACCTGACCAGTCATCAGATATAATTCCACATTCAGACATGATGATACTCTGTCCATGTCTACACTGATACCATTAATCGTTGTTAAAGTTGTCTTGATTAGATTAAAATAATAAAGTCATGATTAATAAGACTCATACGATATACAACTCTGGTTTAAAGACACACATTGGCAGTTATGACTCAGTTATGAGCTCAGAATAAATTTGTCATACAAGGCACGTTTGACTCCCTGCTCTGCCTATTGAGCCACCAAACTAATCTTCAGTATATTCACCATGACATTTCATATAAAAGTCATCCCCTCACATGGAATTGGGAAAATTCTCATGCAGGAGTGGATCTACTGGTTTTCTGGAAAGCATTTTATCCAGAAACGTAATCAACCACAGAGGTGCAGCAGAATTTATATCTGAGTTCACCCCCACTGAACTCCCTCTCCCCATTTCTATTTCTCTTATAGCTGGCAGAAATCGAAGCCTAAGCAGGGTACAGAGGGACTGTGGTGAGCGTTGGAGCTTGATAATAGTCTGGTTCTGTGTGGCTGCAGATCTAGGGCAGCCACAGCTAATTCAATCTGTTGACTCCAGCGCTAATGCCCCTGTCGCTTTCAGGCAGCCCGGTGGGTTAGAATGGGAAGGGGGATACATTACATTAGGGAGAGCTCAGAGTCATGGTTAGCCAGCTAACTTGACATTACACCTTGGAAGAATGTGCATGGATATTCAAGGTGATATATAACATTATAATGCAAAACAACTATGACTGAGAACATGTTCCACATCATGCAGCGTTCAGCTTGGTGCCTCAGTGTTATGACACCCGACTGCACTGAATCTTAAGCAGATAATCTCAAGGATATGTCTCCTCCGTACTTCATGCAATCCACTGAATCTGTCACACAGTAGATTGATATTGCCTCTACATATGAATTAATGATGCCTACTGCAACTACAGTATATTAGACTACATCAGACTGCTGCTGATGACATTAAAATGCACCATGTGATAGTGTAGGGTGTAGTGTTTATGAAAAACCAACAAGAAAACAGCAAAAATGAGTCACTTTCTCTTGACTAGGTGTAACTGAATCTGCATTGCTGACAAATCTGCACGTCAACCTTCAATTATTCTCAGCCCCCCTGCTAGAGGCAACCTGTACCAGATTTAATGATGCTTAATGGAATCTAAAGACATGTGTGGTCCAGAAATCTTGATAACTCTCATTAAGCTAACGGTCCAGAGGAACGGTGCTGTTAGCTAATTTGTTAGCAGAACATAACCTCATATCAGTGGCACCAGAGCTCATAGTAATTCTGCCAAAATGCAACCACATAATTGCTTTGTGAGAGAACATGTACCTCACATTGATTTCCTCAGCGAATTTCCATTAATGGGTCTCTATGGCTCAGTCTAATGATGCTCGCTCTAAATTTCACATCATCATGTTTCTTCTTTACTCATTCTTTCTCTGTTTATGTTTCACAGAGTGGTGCTGGTGGAGAACATCCCAGATGACATCTCCTTCTTAGACAATAGTACATCACATCTCCCTCTGTCAGTGGGGCTGTACGACTTACTGGACCGAGCTATCCGAGCCGTGGAGATAGTTTCCCCACTGTGGATCCTCAATTCTTCTGATTACGAGTCCAGCTTCCAGCCTGCTGCCAGACAGGTAAAAACAGAGCAAGTCTACAGAGACTTGACCCTGCAGAAGTTAGGACATTTATTCAAATTCTGTGTCTATTTTACGTCTTCTGTCTCCTCTTCTTGTCTGTGCCTCCTCTACATAATGATCAGTGGTGGAAGAAGTACTCAGATCCTTTATTTAAAGGTTCTATATATGTGGCATTTTGACCACTGATATAGCACCACTATTTGCTGTGTAAAGATATAGTGGAGTAATGGTCTCCTGAGCAGAGAATGAAGTCTCACTACCACTGTGTGTGCTATAATCTGAGCTTCTCTGGTCTTTGTTTTGGCAGCCAGGCCTGAGTAGGTTCGATTTTCTATATTTTTTTCGCATCCCTTTAAAGTCTTTAGAGAGACCAAGAGGCAGTGAAGAAAGTGTGGCGTAAACTGTGGGACACATACATCTGCAACAAGAGATAGCAACAGGGCAGAGGAAACGGTAATGACAGCCTATCAAGAAACGCACAACAGCAATGATTATCCTTACAGGAGAGTACAATTGAATAGCTACACACTGTCATTTCATAACTCAGGTAGCTGCGGTGCCAAAATGCAAGACGCTGGCAGAGAGTGGCGACAGCCAGGGAGGTAACTCCAATGGAGAGAAGCAAAGCAACTAGTGTGTTTCTCCATTTTGCCTCAGCTTGCAAATTTTTTGCAACAAACATTTTGTGCAGGGTGTATGTGCGTAGCCTAATATTTTCTATGAGATGACGGATTTAAAAAATGCATATGAAAAATAAAGACTTGATGTGCAAAGGTCATAAGAGCAGAGTGCAGTTCCAGCTGAATGTGACCTTCCTTTAAACTTTTGCCATCTAACGCATATTTTTACCTGATGTTTTAGGTAGCAAGATAGCTAACAAGCTCACAATGACATTACATGAATTCAAGCCACTCGGCACATCGAAGAAATAGCTCCTTATTTTCTGGAATACATTAATAATGTTGCTAAAATGACTATATCTTAAAAATACAATATTCGAAACAACAAAATAATTGCCAGGATGTATTCTCTTGCTTGCCTAATGTACTTAAAAATGTACAAAAGGGTAACGTTATTCCTTTGTTTTGTTTTGTTTCTGTTGTATGTTCAGGGTCCACCTTCTCTCTCGCCTTGCCTAGAATACGAAGGGAGGGTGGAGGTGTGGCCAACACACCCATTTGTTTAGGTCTGAGGTGCTGGTGCTCTGCTGCGACATCTAGTCGTTCTGAATGTCACATATCGAACCTTTAAGTAAAAGTACCATTACAGCAACGTAGAAACAGGTCACATACTTTTAAAATTTCACTTAAACAACCGGAATATTATCAAAGAATGTATAAAGCATCAAATTAAAAGTACTTAATTTTAATGGTGAAATGTTGAATCATTTTACCTTTTTTTTTTTTTTTTTTTTTTTTACTTTTTAACAGTTATTTAAACAAAACCACCTGAGAAGATTAGCCACAGGTGTAACGATTGAGTTCAGAACTGGTACCAAGCTGCAGAGAAAAACACAAAACACCAAGAGCAGTTTATCAAATCCAAATCTTGACTTAGGAGGTCTGGGGTCAAACACGTGAAGGCAGAAAAATCAGTTCAGGGAAATCACACCAAGAGCAAAGTCCATAAACCAAGCAGAGTCAAAACCAAGGAATCAAAGGCTGAAAAAGGCGCATTACACACTAGGGCGACAATGACAACCTGGCAACTGAATGGGGGAAACACTGGGCTTTGAATACACGCGGGCTGATTACTATCTACATACAGGTGAGGTACACATGAGGTAATCAACAAAGGCAGGTCAACAGTGAACTCAATGAGAACTCATTTCAAAATAAAACAGGGACTGGATGAAAAAACACGAACATAAACTTGACAGAATATCACAACAGAATCATTCTTTGGCATGTAAAACATCTAACAGGACAAGGGCCTCCAACTTAACACTTCTCCTTTGTAAGAGGTCACCAGCCAAAAAGATCAGGCCACTAGTTTAATCTTTAACAATGTATTTTTATTTGTTATATGCTTATCATATAGTGGCATCCCATCAAGATAGATGGAGTGATGACCTGATGTGACAGTACAGTATGCATGGATTAAGACTGGATTTGATGTATTTTTCTGCGGGCTGATTTTTGTATCTCTTTGTTTTATTCTGAACCTTGAGACCCTTAACTTTAATACTGTATGACACAAAGCATACAACAAAGAATGGAAAAAATAAAATAAATTCCTGTTACTTGTTAAAGTAGCATACAATGAAACAATAAAGTAAGTTTGTTACTTTCCACCACTGATGATAATGCGTGTAAAGTGAGACAGACACATTGTAATTTGCTTCATTTGCATTAGCTGTCCAACATAGTGGCTATTTGGTTTTATATCCAAATCCCAGGTCATTGAGCAGACTACACAGCTGCCACATCTCAAATTAATCATATCTTGAAAGGACATTAAAGAAGAGATGGTTTTCTGTTTCAGCCAAATTAGACAATTAAGTAAAAGCAGACCAAATGACAGTATGACAGTATGGCAGACACAAATGATCAGCAGAGCGGAAAATCAATATCTGTCCCTGTAGAACTGTGTTTGCTGGTTACATACTGGTCTGGTCTACTTTCAGGCTGTGTGATGCGAACTATTCATTTTGGATTTGAACAGGATGTGTGTGTTATTGATAGTTGCCTGGAGGGAAGTGAATAGAATAGAGCATATCAGGAGGGCTAATGAAAGCCTGAGGCTGTTGATTGGAAAGTAATAGCTCCTCTCCGAAGCCTCAGGGCAGAGGAGAGCTAATGGCCTTTCAGCCTCCAGCTCTCTGCAAAAAGCTGCCAAAAACGACACCTCATCAGGAGGGAGGCTGGACCGGAAAATTTAATGTAAAGGCAACGATACAAGAGATGAAGATGGGGATGCTCTCGTATAGTATGCATGTACGCTGCATGTCTGTTTATGGCAAAATACTGTTAACATCTGTTGTTTTGTTACCATGAATAGGCACCCAGATCATAATCACTGGGTATTTTGTGATCACACATTGAGAGGAATCGCTGTCAGTTCAGCAGATTTATTTTAAAATAAATTCACTCAAAAGTTTTAGCTGTAATATACAAATGTTTAAAAAGACAATGTCAGCTATATCACCTCAAATCATAAAATAATAGAAGAAGTTCAACACATAAGTTTCCTGGACTGTGCTGTACAAGACAATGAGCGTCCTTCACATGTTAATGATGTGGTTCCTGAGTATCTGCAAAGATATTAAAAGGTGCTCTGCTTCTTCTTTGATTCATCTCCAAGTTGTGTGTTCTGTGTTAAACCCTGGAAGCAAACCTGCCAATATCACCAAAATGTGACACTTTCTCTTGGAATAATTAAAAACTTAAGAGTGTGTGTTCACCGCAAAACCAGTGAGATTATATTTTACACTTTGAAGTGGCACTTTAGTGATTTAGTGTTGCATTTCATAAAACTGGACTGGCCATTCTCCTCTGACCTCTGGCATCACCAGGGCATTTTCACCCAGGGAACTGCCGCTCACTGGATATTTTCTCTTTGTCGGACCATCCTCTCTAGAGATGGTTGTGTGTGAATATCTCAGTAAATACTCAGACCAGCCCGTCTGGCACCAACAACCATGCCACGTTCAAAGTCACTTAAATCACTTTTCTTTATCATTCTGATACTCAGTTTGAACTTCAGCAGCTCGTCTGTCTGAAGTCTACATGTCTAAATGCATTGAGTTGCTGCCACTTGATTGGCTGATTAGCTAATTGTGTACCTATTAAAGTGGCTGGTGAGTGTATTTCGGAATATCACAAGTGTCTTTTATGGGTTTTGAAGGCTCCATTACAGTAGAGTGTACAGTTCTAGCTGTTCACTTTGTCATCTGTCAGGTGCTTTGTTGCCTAAAGGCCTGTTCACATCAAACTAGCTCCAGAGAACAAGTGACGACAAAGGCCCCCTGCTGCATCACCTGACTTTGCAGTGTCTCGGCCAAAAAAAGTTGCACATGAACACACACAAAGACTACAGCTGATAGCCAACCAGCATGTACATTCTGCGCCTGCGTGAGAGGAAATAACTCTCCACACCAGCAGATGGCAGTAGTCTATAATTCTCATTCAAAAAAAGGAAACCAGAGGACAGCCTTGATGCTAGATAGCCAGTTGGCACATTAACAACACAGTCCAATGTTTAAAGAACAAAGCATATGTACTGTGCACTGGTGGACAATAGCACAAACCATTACAAAATGTTTCTGCTCAAAAACACACAGAACAGCTCAAGAAAAAAATCTTACCTTATGCAACAAGTGTTTTGTTTTTCTATGCTGAGCTAAACTGCCAATCAGAGTTATTTCATTCATCGAATGGCTCCTCAGTTATTGACTCTGATTCAACATGCTGAATCGGCCAAAAGAAAAGCAAACAGGAGCCACTGAGAAGCAATGGTGCAAGACACACTGCTCCAACTAGGGCCATAGAGTCTGAATACGAACCCAGGATTCTGGTGTCACAGTTAAATGTAGTGTTAACTCAAAGAAGAGCGATTACACTGTCACCACAGCACAATTATGAAAACAGTTTAGTAATATACAAACACAATTTCCAGGAGACAGGATTTCTCAGGATTTCTGTATCTTATATTTCCCACAATGCAACTTAAAAAACATAAATCATTAGACACTCCTTGCTTGGCAAATGCCCATGTTTCCTTTACATGCCTGGTTTCTAACACAAGCTTTCTGCTAAAAATCTGAACTCTCCAAGGCCATGCAGAAATATGTTCTTCTTCAGTCTTTGGAAAGCTCCCTCCAGAGACACAAAAGAAAAATAAAACTGCTTTCACAGGCTTAATACTGACGGGTTGGACTTGATGTGTCAAATCAAATGACTTTTAAACAGCTTTAAAAGTCGTTCTATAAAATGTCATTATGTAATGAAACAACAACCTTCCCAATGTCACTGTGTCTCTTCTAGCAGGCTTAAAACAATCTATACTGAAGGAACAGACACATAAAATATTGGACACATCCTCCTGATATTGCAGTGAAGCCCATTCAACCAAATTCAGATCTCAACTGACTCTGACTCATTTTCTATCTAATTTGCAACTGGTGTTGTCGGAGAAATCAATAAGAGTGGTTTGGAGATGTTTGGGTTTTACCTTTAATGACCTCCTCAGTGTACTTCATAAAAAGAATCACATACATATTTTGTATTCTCAGTGTATTTATGCCTTCAAAGCCAGAGAGTCTAGGGATTAAAGTAAGGGTCTTACTTTAACTTCAAATGATCTGTTGACAGTGACTCATCATACATAGTTTATATTTCTCTTTTTAAATGTGTTGCTCTACAGCGAGAGGTTTATAATTGGGTATTTAGAGTGAGCAGAGGTTGCTATCATGACTGAGCAAACAAAGAAAAGAGTGTCACCCGCAAATATGAACACTTGATCAAAACAAAACAGGCATCACAGTTGCTGGGTGCAGACAAAAGACCTCTGGGAAATGCAGCACAAAAACTGCACATAAATAACTGCAGATGGTGCCAAGATATTAAAGCAAATCTAAGCAATACATGAGAGTCTTGTCTGAATACACAGTGCATGAGTTTCTTGTGACAGCAGATATTTTGTGATGTGTTTACCCCAGGGAAGGGCTCTGCTGTCCAGGCTGCAGGGGCTGAAAGCTAAAGGGATCCAGCTGAAGATCTCCAGCGGGATGATCGACTCCACTGAGCTCGGGATCCTCGCCAAACACTGTCAGCTCTCGCTCTCACTAAATTATACATCCTGTGTGTGTTGTGTTCAAACATGCTGCAGCTTAGCTCTGTCTGTTGACTCTTCTCTCAGCCTATTTGTCCTGCTCAGCTCTTTCAATATTTCCCTTCATTTGTCTCTGTGTTTCTGTTTCTGCCTCTCTGTAGTTAGATCTTCCTTAATCCATCTCCTTGTTTCAAATGTAGCTTCCTTTGTTTCAGTCTGTTTGTCTGGCTGCCTTTCATCTTTTATCTGATCTCTGTTTTTGTCTCTATTTCTCGATTTTTAGATGCTGAAGTCCACTATGTGAACACGACAGCACTGACCAAAGGCAACCTCCACTCGTCCTTCTGGGTGGTCGACAGGAGACATTTCTACATCGGCAGCGCCAGCATGGACTGGAGATCCCTGGCCACAGTATCCAAGACCCACCACACATCACAGCACACTCAGAAACACACATTAAACATGCATACTCACACAGAAACAGAGGCTGTGGCAGAAAATGCAGTATCATAACCTCATCAAGTCTGAAGCTGCACTGCAACACAAATTGCCACAATTACAAATCACAACTTACATCCTTTGTTGTCGTTTTGTATCCAACAGACTTTCACAAGATTTGTAATTACATAAGAAGTTCTGTATCCCCTCATGTAAAGTGGTTTGATAATGTTCGACTGGCTTAGACTCAAAAGTGCAGCATTTTATTTGAAGTACTCAGCCCTCTTATGCACAAGGCTGTCCTTGAAAACTGCATCATCTGAAATGACGAATAGTAATGTCACTGTTAATTAATTTGGAAAATATAGCCGGATTTAACATATTTAATACCATGGGTGATACAGACGTCCTTCACTTTGATTTAATACTCAAAATTGATTTCTCCAGATGTCTAAACGTGCATTTTTTAGACTGTGCATTTAGATTTTGTTGATATATTAGTGGAGTCAGTTGCTTTATACATACTACACATGCACATTTGCAAATATGTAATTTATAAACCCTATCAAAACACATTTGTACAGATAGTGAGACTATTTTGTCCATCAAAAAATCATATATGAGGAGGAGTGGATGGGTGTGGGTGTTTAGTGGGGGCATGCAAGGTCGAGAGGCATCCCAATGTGAAAAAGTGGCCATTCTTTCATCTTCTCCTTCAAAGCTGAGATTCTTGCATGGCTCATTAAAGTGCAGCCCCATTTTTTAGGCTGCTTTATCTATCTTTAGAAATCCAGAGATACATAAGGGCATTGTGTATGTTGGTGCGTTTTGGGAGCGATAGAATGCGCAGTATCAAATAAAACTTTAGTAAGTGGGATCTGAGCTTTATTTATGGATACTTTGCCAGTGTAAACACTGCGAGGAGGAATGTGCGGAGCGAAAGAGAGAAAGAGAAGGCAATTTAGGAGGTACAAGCTGAGAAGCTGAAATTGAGAAGTGTCTCTTTGAAATGAAAACGCAGCAGAGTGCACAGACAGAAAATAGAGAACAGGGAGGAGAACTGTAGTGTCTTCTCAAACCCTGCTGTAATTGGATGAGACTTTTGGCCAATGTGGCCTGACAGTGGAAAGGTGCTGTGTGTGTGTGTGTGTAGGTGGTTGGACGTATAAAAGTGTTGAAGGAGTAAAAACAGACAGTTTGAAAGGAGGAAATTGAATTTTGATGGAGATTTTTATTGATAAGAATAATTACAAAGATGTTTATGTAAATATGGGCTGTCTGCCTTCATGTTGACGGTGATCTAACTGACACTGTGTTTGTTCTCCAGAGGAAGGAGCTGGGTGTGTTGGTGTACGACTGCAGCTGCCTAGCTCTGGACCTCCACAGAGTGTTCAGCCTCTACTGGGGGCTCCAGTATAAAGACTTCATCCCCTCCTTCTGGTCCAAGCGCCTCTTTGCCCTCTTCAACAGGGACGAACCACTGGAACTCACTCTCAACAGCACAAAGGCTCAGGCTTACGTCTCTGTAAGTTACAGTTATAGTGTTAACTTGTATTGTTCTTTAGCCCAACTCCAGATTCACACTCATATCAAAATGAGCTTTGTCTTCTTGATGTTTTGCCTTGCTATATTTTGGTGTTTTTCAGTACTCAGTAGTCCTCAGTTTTCATAGCTTCCTCTTGGTTGTGTGTTGCTTACAGTCTAGCACCTAGTTGCAACCTCACCTGCATGCTGTTTTTGGCTTTGAATACTTGCTCAGGAGCATCCTGAACACAGCAAAATAAAAAGAATGTAAGAAAATACAGGTAGAGGGCAGATTCTCTGCAGATAAATACACCACTGTACACTTCTAGTGGGTCATTAGTGATGATTGATAATCTGCCATGAAAAGGTCTACTGTGCATGAGTTAGGACACTCAAAATGTATTGATGTATATAGTAAATAAGGGATAATTTCTCACACCCCAAAGACACCTAAAGGTGTGTTGAGTTGCTCTGATTGATTTGACCTCAGCTCAGGTTGTGATGGGCAATTTGGGGAAATTTGTCATGTCACCAAACATGAATGCAGCATCAGCTCCAATTAAAATTGGTCAAGGTTATGCAGGGAATTGCGTGAAGTCAAAATAAGATTGATAAAGGTATGATATGTTCAAGGGTTAGGCAGGAGACTGAGGGTGATGTCAAGCAAGCACAATGTGCACACGCCGACACACTCCTAAAGAAGAGAACTAATCAGGCAAAGTGAAAACACCTGTGTGGGTACAGCATGGGTGTGTAGGGTCTTTAAATTGGGCAGGGACATCAGTGTTACCAGTTCCACCTGTGCTTAAAATGTTTAAATGTCTCCTCTGAAAAAAGGTCTGTTATCAGAAACAGTTTACACAGACACAGATATCCAGGTTTTATAACAAGGAACTCCAACTTTTTGAAGTACAGCACACTCAAACCAATCTCCAGCGGAGGTGACAGTTAGATGGGAGAGTGCATTTTTCATACTGAGCGTCTCTGCAGGACACTGTGTCTTTCAGCGTCATCTTCTTCCTGTCTTCCTGGAGATGAGTGATGGTGATGTCATCCTACCTGCAGCAGAAAACGGTTGATTCGGCCGAGCTGTCCACTTCTCTGGAAAATTAATATCAACACAAAAAGCACAAAGCACACACTTCACAAATTCACAGGTTTCTGTCAGCAGAAAGCTAAAACTAAAACATCAAGGTTTTGTACAAGACATGCATGCACACACACAAACACACACACACACACACACACACTCATACACACAAAACAAAGGAAGAAAATTAAATCCTAATGGGTCATTTAGGTGAACAATAAAGATGATGAGAGCTAAGTTGATAACAGTGCTGATAATGATCATGATTGTAATTCTGCATATTATTAAAATTCCTCTCTGAGTCACTGTGGTAATAAACATCTGGTCGTACAACACTCTGAGCATCTCTCATGTGTGTTCCTTCAGAGAGAAGGACAGGATGCACCAGTTGTGCATCCTCGCAGCACTTTCTGTCTTCACTAACTGACTTTGCCTTGTCTTCCCTCCTCTGATGACAGAGCTCACCAGATGTTTTCATCCCCAAAGATCGTAGCAGTGATCTTGACGCCATTTCCAGAGTCATCCAGGAGGCTCGCCATTTCATATATATATCCATCATCGATTACCTGCCCCTCCTCGGCCGCAGTGCTCAAAGGTTAGAACGACTGTGCCGCTGCTGGCAGTTGCTTTATTTGGAATGATTTGAGCAGCATCGATGCTCGGATGCTTTGCCTTGGTTCAAGTGATTAAACTCAGTGTACCCATATTTGTGTGTGTCTGTATCTGTGCCAAGGTACTGGTCTCGTATTGACGGCCTTATCCGGGAGGCTTTGATCCTGAGGAAGGTCCGGGTCCGTCTGCTGATAAGCTGCTGGGAAAAGACTCATCCACTTACTTTCAACTTCATCTGGTCCCTGAAGAGTTTGTGCATGGAGCAGGCCAACTGCTCACTGGAAGCTGTAAGTACAAGGCCACCATGTACTATTTTCAACTCTATAGATACACTTTATCAATGCTCACTGCACCATTCTGTGTGTGTGTGTGTGTGTGTGTGTGTGTGTGTGTCTGTAGAAGTTCTTCAACCCCAGAGTGCAGAGGGATGGCAGTCTCCAGGGAGTAAACCACAACAGGTTTATGGTGACAGACAGAGCCATTTATTTAGGTGAGCTCATCGACCAGACTCTGTGACTGCGTCTCACGTGCCTCTGCTTACTTCATGCAGATCTCAACTTCTCAAAGCTCAAACTACTGAATCTACATCAGTTTGTATAAACATTAATCAAACTTTAAGGCCCAGACGCACCAAACGGACATCAAAGAACTAGTGTCCGACTGTTGAATCACGTCAAATCACCAGTGTCTCCACCAAAAAGTTGCACATGAACACTCTGCAAAGATTTCAGCCAATGGCCAACTAGCATGTGCATAAGAGGAAATAACTCCCCATAAAAGCAGGTGGCTATAGCCTGTACACATCAAGAGTTAAAAGGCTAAAAAACAATCCTAGCTTATATAACAAGTTTGTTCCCATCTCATGCCCTCTTAAGCCGTCTATTTGCTTTCCTCCCTTTCAATTCTCTACACGTGCACTGAGCTGAACTGCCAATCAGAGTGATTTAATTCACAGACGGGCTCCACCGTCTCCGACTCCAATTCAACATGCTGAATCGGCAGCAGCCAACTGGGGCCAACTGGTGCCAATGGTGCAGGACACACCGCCAGCACTTGCTGACAGCCCAGCACTGACTAACAGCCAGCCATCAGCTTGGCATTTCAGGGCTCTTGGAGGTGCTGATATTCATATTTCTCAAGGAAAGCTGTCTCCTCTTGCTTCCAGTCTTTACGCTGAGCTAAGCTAATCATGTCCTGGTTCCAGCTCTGTACTTAACACGCAGACATGAAAGCAGTATTGACCTTCTCATCATCTAACTCTCAGAAAGAAAGCGAAGTAATTCCCATAATGAACAAGGACTCCATTAAAAATGTGTCTGTCCAGGGAAATGTAAACAGGGCGCTTTACACAGCAGGATGGTCTTTGATTCACTATATTTATCCACTCATACTTTATGGCATTGTTTAAGAATTGTGTTTTAGTCATCTTGGCGTGGGGTTTTTGTCTCATTTGTTGTGCTACAAAATATTTCTGACATACAGTAAAACCGTGGTCACTTCTCTGTTTCTTCCTCTGTGCCCTGACAGGTAACCTTGACTGGGTGGGGAATGAGTTCATCTTTAACGCAGGAGCAGGCCTGGTGATCAGTCAGCCGGAGGGCATCGAGGAGAGGAACTCTACAGTGGTGGAGCAGCTACGGGCTGCTTTCGAGAGGGACTGGTTTTCACGTTACACCCGCTCACTGCAGGCCAACAAGATCCCTGTCTGCAACAAGCACCAGATCAACAGGCTGGTGCCAGGCAAAACCAGCCACTTAGACAATGGACCAGTGCCTATCAGAACAGGCCAGCATGATAACGGGCCTGCACCGATCAGAGGCAGTCACAAAGATGATGCACATGTGGCAGTTAAAACAAGGCACTATGACGAGAGACTGAGCAAAATGAGTCGCCAAGGCAAGGCCAGTGGACTGGTGCCAGTTATAGACAGTTACCAAGAGAGGGGACGAGTCAAAATGAGTCAACTTGACAACAGACAGGTACAAGTCAAAGGTACTCACCGTGACAATCCAATGGAACCACCCACTCAGTCAGCTGAGAGCAGCGGTAGCAGAGAGATCTTCAATGGATCCCTGTGACTACAAGTGTGATGGGTTCCTTTTCGCTGAATGATGTTTGGAGAATCGCTCTTTTCCAGGAACAGTGGATTTAACACACTGGGTCTTTGTAGCATTTTATTGTTACCATTTTGAAGAAAAAAACTTTAAAGATATAAGTAACATCTGGTTTGCAGGACTTGATAATGTTCACAGAAGAACTCAGGAAGGAAAGTAAATGCTCCGCTGCAGTCTGGAACATTTGATGGATATTTTTTAAAGAATGAAACCAAAACATTTTGGTTCATAAGACAAACTGTAATAATAACTTACAGCCTTGCTCCTTATTTAATCTTTTTTGTCTCCTTGTTGAGATCTCTCAAGCAAAGGAAACAGATGAAATCTTACTGACTGCCTAATTATTGTTGTCACTTTAGCTGTTTGTGGCAGTCATAACGTATCACCCTTTAAAAGGGGAATGACGCCTGCATACCTCTGCAGAGATGGGAGGCAGTGCAGCACGTGTAGCTACACTAGCTACATTTAGCATTAAAGATACACTCCAAAGTAGTGGGGGATTTACTACACAGCTTTATATGCTATGTGTACTCAGATTGGTAGTGGACACTTGGCCTCATGTAAATAGTTTGTGCATCTCCAGCAGTATTCTGAAGTAAGTTACTGTGCATTCAAACAGTTACTTAAAACTGTAAAGTTATTTATTACAGTCAATTGGTATCTTCATCCCAAACCAAATCAACATGATACCACTAGTTTAATAAACTACATTGGATCAAATGGCATTAATAGAAATAGACAAGCTGATGTGTACGTATTAATAACCCAATTACCAGAATAAATGTTGACATTGTATGTAGGTTTCTGCAAACCACACGTGTTGTACATTACAATGTAGTGGATACTTCGAAACTCTATGATTCAACATCATTGTGGTTAATGTGTAGTAGAGTTTAGGCACAAAAGCTTTCCACTTGAATATGGAACGGAAAAGATCATGTTTTCACTTAAAATTCACATTTTCAGTAGCACAATCCCAGAAGGTAATACAGCAATGTCTATTAAAAACAATCACTTTTTGTGGCACTATCTCCACTGGAAAAACAGTGTCAGGTCATTAGAAAAGACCCAAATTTGGTGACTTAAAAAACTGCAGGAAATAGCTTTCTGTGGCATTATCCCTAGTTAGTGAAAAACAATGATAGGGTGCTAAACAAACCACCAACTTTTGGTGGTTAGAAAGCCACCGGAAAGACAGCTTTGACTCACTAAAACACAAGCAGGTTTTTTTGTTTGTTGATCTCGAACAGTGGTCTGCAGTGTTCTGCAGCTTGGCAGGCGTCTCGTCTAGGTCCACCTGCTGCTGACAAAGTGAGCTCATATATTAATAATGATATATAATAATAATGATTTATTTGTATAGCACTTGGTTAGAAAGGTTACAAAGTGCTTCACAAAGTGCATAGAAATAGGACAACAAAACAATGTATAAAGCACAAAAGTTACAAATCACAAAAGTACAAATCAGGCATTAAAAGGGAAAGCTTTCCTATAAAAATATGTTTTAACAGTTAATGTGCTAGCCAGCCTGATCTCCTCAGGCAGAGAATTCAAGAGCCTTGATGAAAGCCTTGGCGAAAGCCCGGTCACCTTTAGTTACCAGCCTTGATCTAGGGATGACTAGTGAGGGTAGGCTTGAGGATCTCAGGTCATGACTTGGAGCATAGGTAATCAGAAGCTCAGTTAAATAACTCAGCGCTAAACCATGTTTTAAAAGTTATTAAAAGAATCTTAAAATCAATTCAGAAGTGAACTGGCAGCGGAGGGAGGCAAGAATTGGGCTGATATGTGACCTACTATTTTTTCCAGTCGAGAAAAAATCGCAGAGCTACTGAAGATTTACTGAGGCATGTAAACACTTTACATAAAGTATTACATCACTTTATAAACATTGATATGATACATATGAAACATAAAAATGTAATGTATTTGTGGTTTTCAGAAATGCCAGCATTTTCCTCTGGTGACTGGGCTGAATTAATACAAATCCCTCGAGACAGTTTTTAAATGTTTGTGCTGAGGAGTCAAATTCGCAATTTTATTTCTACTCACAAGAACACACTGAGTACTAGAAACAACCCCATGACTCATTCTGAGGGCTGACCAGGTGAGGAGCTTGGGCTCAAAAGGGAATAATCAAATCATGTCCGCCATGTTTTAATCTCAATACCAGGAGCACTAAACACTGCACAGAGAGCAGTTACATAATCCAGGATGTGATGCATCACATACCTCTCCACAGCAGGATGGCCTTTATCAAAATGGAGGTTGTAATTGAATTAGATGATGCACCTATTCTACTGTGTTTATTACATAACACCAAATGCATTATGGCGTGGAGGTTTCAATCAGGCGCCACCGCTGAAAAACGACAGCCTTCATTAGTTTAAGTGGAAGACAGGTATTTTTTCCCAGAGGAAGAGTGGTTATCGATCTGACCACCGCCTTATAGATAATCATTCCAGTTCCCGTATAGAAATCCTATAGGAACAGAGGAGGAATTGAATGGATATCTATAGCATTCAATGTTGTGACTTATTGAACAAATACTAAAGGAGCAGTTAGCCAAAGGGGCCAGAGGGTCTCTGCTGTCAGCCAAATCAATACAATGAATTTTTAACAGAGCTCGACAGTTGCAGTTGCTGCAGTTTAACCTCAAGGACATTGTTGATTGTAATGTCATGCCTGTGACTGAATGTATATGTGTGTGTATTACCTTTACCGTGTGGAGGTAGAGCTAAAATACAGGATTGTTAGTAAAGATCAACTAATTTAGTTTTGAGTGAGAGCTTGTGGCCACTTTCATTTGCATTTTGAATGATTGCATGTCAGTTTAAACGCACTCTTTGCTGTGAGTGCAACTTTTTGCATCAGTGCTTGTGAGTTTATATTGTAGGGAACAATTTCTAACTTCCAAAGCCTTTAATCAAGGGAACAAGAGAACCAGAGAGAGCTACATGAGATGTCTTCATCAGCAACATGCAGGGTGTTATCGTCAGTACTTTAATGTGAAAGCAGCACAGGTGCAATGAGTGTTTTGTCTGAATACAGATGGCAGGAAGAATAATTACATACTTAAATTAAACTGAAGTCAGAATGCAGAGAGGGTTTAGCTGTAAACAGAAACAAATTACAAACAGGCATTGAGGTAGAATTTCAAACAGTGAGTCACAGACAGGATACATGTAGCTGACTCATTGAGACCAGTGTTTGTCAGAAACACACCACTCACTTGACCATTGTGTTCTGGTCATGATGGATAACTTCTGCCATCTAGAGGACGTCTTCAGAAAAAACATTCTTATTTGCTGCAACATATGATACTTTTTAAAGCAGTGTATTTTTAATGTACACCGTTCAAACTACTGTTTATAACCAATACTTATGAAGTGTATAAAAGGCAGCAACATGGGAATGCAAGTGATTTTTCTAACTAAGTTTAAAATGAAATTATGTTACTAACTATTTCTCGAGGTGATCAGAGGATCATTTATTCTTTATAAGACAGCTCATATACTCACAGTATAGTACAGGAAGTTAACATATAATGCATTTGAAATTACATCAATAATAATGTAATAAAAATAACAGCTACATGTTTAATTTAACAAGCATAAAACTAAAAATTACCTTCACATGCTGCTGTATGTGTGCCCTAACACAAGCATCAATTCATCTATAAACTGATCCATGAAGGAAACCCAATCATCAACAGTGTCCCAGAGTGAGAATTTTTTCTCATAATGTCTATATGTATTTTCTTGCAACGCACCATGTCAACGCACTGTATTGCTTGTAATCTGACAGCTGGCCTGGAGTCAGATTCACCACTTTTACGCTGCTATTAACAATGGTTATTACAGGGGTCAGGAATTCTGAATGCACCACGCACTATCTTGTGTTTATTTGTTTTCAAGCTTTATTGATGGTTAAAAACAGTGACTATTTTACATGTATCGTGGAGCAGGACTACACCTTTAATGGCATATTTTCATAGGAGACTTATTGTAGCTCTGGAACACAGATGCCAAGGTTTGAAATCAGCAACGGTTTACAATCTGCAACATGCATACTGCTTCACACTGACGCACTACTGGTTCATTTTAAATGCTCACTGTAAAAGCTTTTTAATGTCGCCTACCTTTATTCTACTAAATTGTTTCGGCATGACTGCTGCTTGCATGCCCTGCCTTTATGAACTGTGCACAGTAGCTATGAGCCTTTCTAGAGATAATGAAAGCTTATATGCCTTTAAAAAATACAGAAGGAATGTATATTTATTGAATAACCTTGTTTATTTATGCACACTACTGAATTATCTGATCGCTACGTTTTTACACTTAATAAAAAAAAAGCTTTTTGTGTCTATGTGTGTGTGTGTGTGTGTGTGTGTTTGTGTTTAAGTATAAGTGACTTGTGTTTCCTCAGCACAAAGGCTGTTAATTAAAGCAAGGTGGCTTACCTCAGAAGTTAATCCGTAGTGCATCACTGCACCGTGGCAGTCAGGCCCTATATGTAGCCTGAATGGACAGGCTGATGAGCACAGGAGTAATCGGGGTTGCTACAGGAACATAATTGGCTGAATGTAGACAGAACAATGATGTTAACCTGATTTATTGCACTGTAGAATCCATTGCACTGTCAGGACAGAGTGACACGCACATCGTTAATGCTTTGTTTGAATCCACCAGTAAAATACGGGATTCAAACTTTTACAGCATGGCTTTATGTATGTTAAAACTCACCCACAGTGCTGCCAAATAATAGCATGAGTAATCTACAGTATTATCCCATGTTACTGATATTGATTCTAATGTGTGTTATCAGAAATAAAAGGTAATCCATGTACAGGGTCAAAAACATGATCATCTCTAGTATTAAAACTACTCTTTTCCTTCATCTACACGAGTGTTAGAGATGTTACAGAACAGATCATGAGAGATATGAAACAATCCTGGTATCACACAGACTTGCTTGTGCATAATTACATCTCCCATTAACACCTCACTGACTAGTCTATGTCTAATTGGTAACACTGGCTTCACACACAACCAATCATCAGTGCGTGTTTGCACTATTGATTAACAGTGGAAAGTAACAAAGTACATTTACCCAAGAAATACTGTGCTTTAGATCAAATTTGAGGTGCTTCTACTTTAGTATTTTTTTTATACCACTTTATACTTCAACTGTACTGCATACGAAGGAAATATTGTTCATTTTACTCCATGATCATTATTTGAGGGCTTTAGTTACTTGTTAAAATACATTTTTTGCATAAAAAACATATGAAGACTTTATAAAATATGACACTTTGCGATGAATGAAACAACACAACAGTTAATACAGTAGAGCTAAAACAATTGGCAAGCATTGTGAAGGTGTCTCTTTGGATTCTGGGTCATTTGGATTATATTTATGAAGAATCAATATAATACGTCGAGACAATAGTCAACCATTTAACCCACAATATAGATATGAATAATCATTGTTTGCAACACTATATACAATAGTTTAAAAATAGCGCCACTTAAACCAACTACAGCAGTAGAATCCTGCTTTCAGTGGCCATTTTTCTGCAAGAGTACTTTTACTTTTAATAATATAAGAACATTTTCTTGATTATACATACTTTTAAGTAATATTTTAAATGCAGGATTTTTACTTCTTCAACTGAGTATTTCTACAGTATAGTATCAGGATGTTTACTTAAGGACAGGATTCAAGTTCTTACCTCTGGTGGTGGAATGTAAGTACATTTACTTGAGTATTCTACTTTTTGAGGTACAATTTTGAGATTGTACTTCACTTAAGTATTCCCATTTTCAGCTATTTTACACGTATACTCTACTGTATCTAAGAGGGATATATTTGAAACATTTATTTGACATCTTTAGTTAGTTTACTTACTTTGCAGATTTGGTAAGTAATACAAAATATAATCAACAAATAAATTATAAAGTCTTATCATAGGGTAAGACAAAGCTTTATTGATCATCAGAAAGGAAATTCACAAGCTACACCGCAGACGAAGTATTACAATAATTAAAGTCAGTTACACCTTTATCAGGTGCAGCATTAAAATGATGAACACATCACTAATTATAATCCAAACGGAGACATTCTAAATGAGTATCCTACTTGGATATTAAAGCATTAAAAGCAATTGTCAGTGTATCGTTACTTTGATCTAAACATTCGAATTGGAGCGGGAGGAAGTACAAATTTATTATATCACACCCTTTCTCAATAAGTCACTGAGTAAAATGAAACAGACAGCTTCCTTATAAAGATAAACCTATACCTGAGACTTTTCTAAATATACCATTTTTGTTGCTTTTTAACTTTGTCACACAAAGATAACCCATGTATATGTATATAATAATAAGTACCAAATATCTATGTTACAAAAACCTATCTTGGTATATAATAAAAATGTACAGTATTTGTACAGCTGTCAATATATACCCATACATATATTCATACATACATATTCTTTTCTCTATATGTGCATAAGTGAGAATGTGTATAGGTGTGTCTAAATTTAGTACTTTATATTATATATTTGTCTAATTCTGATATATATCTTTTTGTATGTTATCTTTATTCTATAAGCGTTCTTTTGCAGTTCAACTTGCTTTTTTACCTGTGCTATTTGAGCTGCTGTAACATGTGATTTCCCCTGTGGGAAAGAAGTGGGGTTAATGAAGTTTTATCTTATCTTAAATTATAAATTATAAATAATATGTGACTTACAAGTATAAACCAGTACAAATGTATGATATATATATACTACCAGAAACTTACAGAAAAAAATAAAATATAAATATTAATACTACATATCTATCTTCATCAACTTGTCCTATCTTTTTCTATTTAAATAAGTGAATATATGAATTACACAAAGTATGAATATACTTTACTGATTGTCTTTGCCGTACAAAAAAATAATATCACTATTACATATCTATCTTCATCAACTTGTCCTGCCATATTTTTATATTCAAATAAGTGAACATATGAATTACACAAAGTATGAATATATGCAATATATACATGTGTGTACACCCACATACCCATAAATGAATACTTATTCACATATTAATACACTGAACAGGAATATTTTGAGTAGAATTTTGAATGCAGGACTTTTACTAGTTGCAGAGTATATCTACACTGTGGTACTTCTGTTTTACTGAGGCTAAGGCTGAGTCTTACCACTGTACAAATGTTGTATAAATGATTATTAGCCACGACGGTATTTCTTTATGACTGTGTTGAAGTTAAAACATATAAAAAGTTGGTGTGAAATGAAGTGAAACTGAGAGACAGCAGCAGAAGAGAAATACCTGTGGCCTGGACCTGCCTGGGCTCGAGCGGCAGCGGAATGACGTAACGGTTACCCTAGAAACCGATTAGGCGTCACCACTCCAGGCTGCAAATTCATGAGTGCGCTTTTCTCACCGGAGACTGTCCCGTCCCGTGAAGAGGAGGCAAACAGCCGCCGTGCCGCTCGATGGGGACTCGAATATGAAGGACATTGAAGCGGATGTCTTTGTCCATCAGTCTGGGTGGAGTATATTCGTGGTGTAGTGGAGCTGGACGCGCCGACCTGAAACACATCGCTGCTGCGCTGGTGGTGTTGTTGTTAACCCAGCAGCGGCCAACATGGCTGAGGATGACAGT